CCCTCCACCAGCCTGAGGTCATGGCGATCGGTGTAACCAAAAGTACTGGCTCTCATGTCGCACATTAAGAAGCTACCAAAGGTACCGTGGAAAATGTCTTCTATAAGCTCCAGCAAGCCGATAAAAATTTTAGCCTTGCGGGGCCAGGAAGGCGTGAACCACTGGTCCATGTTTCGCCGCATGCCCGTAGGAATCCAAAGTTCCATGGGCCATGGCAGGCTGAGCCCGTACAGAGGAGTGTGAGGCACCCGTTCCACTACGTACAGGTCCCCACAGAAGCCCAACAATCTAGGTGTGTGCTCTCGGTCCTGGAGCACCACTGCTAGCAGAACCTCGTTGAGTTGCAGCAAAGCCCATGCGGACTTGGCTTCTGGGAGAGAGATGTGGCCGTCTTTATTGCTGTCCGCCACTGAAAGAATCAGGCTTACCAAACTGGAGAGGTTGGCTTGCTCTCCAACTTTTGCCTGTAGAAAAACAAAACAGAATTTGCGTTGATTTTATGATGTTGTACAATTCCAATTGATGTCAACTGACTTCAGTGAAAAAAGAAATGCCAAAGCCCATAAGGGTGCTTTCACACTAGCACTTTTGGTGTGCGCTCGGGTCATCTTACTTAGTTTGAATGATGTGAATGCTGTTTTACGAACTTTGGCACACACCTGAACACCATACAAGACTTCATTTTAAAGGGGTCCTATTATGCTCTTTTCAACTTCCTTTAGTATGTTGTAATGTTGCTGTTTGTGCATGAAAAAGATCTGCAAAGTTCCAAAGTTCCAAAAGGGAGTCATTCTCTACATCAGTAAGCACTGTTTTCTTCTGGGAACATTCACGTCACAATATCCCTCATTTGAAAATTTCTGCCCAAGGTATAAGCAAAAAAAAAATAAAATAAATAAAAAAATATATATATATATATAAAAGGGGGTCTGCTTGAGTTAGATATGATAAACATGACGTGAGTTTGAGCATGATAGTCAGAAATGATCAAAACAAACAAATGTTTTGTTTGTTGTTGCCATAGTAACCCGGGCATGACCTGGAAAGGGAATGGAGAGCAGCAGCACATTTGCCTAAAGTGTAAAGCACACTTTTAAAACATCCTTAACCTTCCAGGTTTTCCAAGATTGTGAGAACCCTGACTGCACCTTTCAGTCCCTTTTGTAAAAAAGTTTTGCAAGCAGTAATGTCACTTTTGAGAAATTAATTGTTTTGTAAGTGCTAAACAAACACTTAAAGGTGAATTCTCTACAATGCTGCACTGTTTTAGCATGCGACTTGCAGAAGTTACAGGCATAGTGTATATTTAAACAACAATTCATCCATGCACGTATCATACTTTATTCATATACATATTTATTTATTTTTTAATCAAACTGCCATAACAAGTGACAGACATCTGTCTGGTGACATTTTTGTGGCTTTCCTTTAAAGAATTGAGTGCTGAACAATGCAAAAAGTGCTATTAGGACCTTTTTAATGAGCAGTAACAACTTTCTAAAACCAAAAAAGCATCCAAACCTTCAAATGACTGGCAACCATCTCTTTGAACTTCTCTACAGAGGTTCCTCGAGTGGGTTTGTCAAAGAGTGCGACCTCTTTCTTTGGCTCCAGCTCATCTCCCAGCTCATAGTGCAGGATGTCATTCAGTTGACACTTGATGACACCATCATGATCACCCCAGCTGCCTGTATAGACCTGAGAGCAACAGAGGAACACACTGTTATCAAGACAGTACTGAGACGTATGTGGTTTCAAGGATGGCCAATCCTGCTCCTAGAGGGGGCCTTGTTCATTCAGAGTTTAGCTCCAACACACCTGCATGAAAGTTTTCTAGTGTTCCTGAAGACCTTTACTTAGCTAGTTAAGGTGTGTTTAATTAGTGCTGGACTCTTCTTGAAGGTACCTTCCAGGAGCAGGATTGGATTCTATTTTAAGGCTTATGGTTGAGTGTGTTAGTGTCAAACCTGATTGTTTGGCTTGGTGGAGAGGCACCTTCCAAAGTACAGTGAGCTTTCTTCACACAGGCTGCTACAGGCAGAGCCATCAATAATGCCTTTGCTGTATTTTTCACACTGTTGGAAAGGGAAGGTCCATTTCATTTACATTTACATTTAGTCATTTAGCAGACGCTTTTATCCAAAGCGACTTACAAATGAGGACAATAGAAGCAATCAGGTGCAGAGCCAGTGGTGGTTTTGTAGGCAAACATTAATGCCAATAAATTTCAATGAGAATGTATGTGACATTCCATCAATCAAAGTAAGCTTTACACTAAGATGTTGAGTAATGGCTTAAATAAAAAAGAAACATTTTTCCAGCACACTACCAATAGATGGGGCTGTGGGGTTAGGTAGTATATGAATGTTTTTTTCCCCATCTAATTTAAGTCTTAAAGGGATAGTTTACCCAAAAATGAATATTGCCATCATTTGCTCACCCTAATGTTATTTAAACCAATATGACATGCTTTCTTCCACAGAACTCAAAAGATAATGTTAAGCAGAAAGGTGTACAATTTACTTTAAAACAAATTTTACTCAGCAATTGCTAGTAAATTTCACAAATAATTACAACAAAAAGTCATTGAAATTTGAAGTAGAACGACTGATATAATATTTTCTCATAAAACATACTACAATAATGGGCATATAATTGGTTCATATAGAACAGGGGTGTCAAACTAAGTTCCTGGAGGGCCACAGCCCTGCAGAGTTTAGCTTCAACCCTAATTAAACATACCTGATCCAGCTAATCAAGTCCTTCAGGCTTATTTGAAAACTACATGGTTTGTGTGTTGGATCAGGGTTGGAACTAAACTCTGCTTTAGAAGATTTTCAGTGTATAATAATTTAAATATTTGTGAATTCCTCACAAAGCTATTGTATGAACTGTTTAGATTCTGCTAAATGTGTCCTCTTGCCTTCTATGGAAAAAAAGTGTTCAGAACAACATGAGGTTGAGTTTTTAATTTTTAATTTATCTTTTTAAGTGAACTATTCCCTTTAATGACACTGTGCTATTATTAGGGATGCACCAATATTAAAATTATTATTTTCATGTTTTGGCATGGAATATATAGAATAATCCATAAATAGCTTATACTAAAAGGTAATTTAAATGTAAAAATAGGTTAAATGAACTGCACAATTAAATACTTATCAGGCTACATAGTCTGGAGCTGTCAAAGAGGTTGTACTCACAATTATGCTCTTGCATTCTCGTCCTCTGCACAGCTCAGTGTAAGTTGAGTACTGCACATACACAACCCAACTGCCCACAAACACAGCAAGCCATGTGAGAAAGAGATACTTTACTCGAATATAGGACAGGCGAGCCTGAGGGAAAGGAAGCAGAAAATAAACATAAGCCCAGGTCTGTGAACTTTAACACAGTCCATGCTTAAAGTAAACACAAATCCTGACTGAACTCGATGTCAAGTGTTTACTTATAGTTTATTACTCTGTCAAATTTCAAAACAGAAAAAGAGGCTGAAACAATATTCATGTCAATACATGTCACACAGCAAATTAACAACAACAAAAAGACTCCTGCTACAACATACCCAAAGAAATACAACCATCAACAGTGAACAAACCACTTATTTGCTAACTACCAGCCAATGGGTCATGAAATGAGTACAGCCACAATCTGATAACACTTAACTAAAGCAAGGTCAATAATTATCTGCTACATTAACTCATTTTAATTAAGTCCCTACAGCCTAGGCTATTTCTGTTAGTTCACTTGCACACAAGGCTTCTGAACTACTAATATACCTGCATGAAGTGTTATGCCCCTGAAATAAAAAGCATGTGGTTACTGTGGTCACCAAAGCTTTACCATGTCACTTTGGGCAGATCAAGCTTTACAGCAGTTTGAAGTGAAAGGCTTCAGGGGGCATCCGCATGTATCCTGCAATAACAGCCAGGAGCTTTGCAACCATAGAATAGTTGTCTTTATGGGCTATTTGTGCTGTGGTTTCAGCCATCATGAGGTAGAGCAAATAATACTACCATTCAAAAGATTGGGGTCAATAAGATTTTTAAGTTTTTGAAAAAAGTCTCTTATGCCTACCAAGGCTGCATTTATATGATAAAAATACAGTAAACAGTAATATTGTGAAACATTACAATTTAAAATACCTTTTTCTGTTTGCATACATTTTAAAATGTTATTTATTCTTGTGATGGCAAAGCTGACTTTTCTTCAGCGATTACTCTAGTCTTCAGTGTCACACGATCCTTCAGAAATCATTCAAATATGCTGATTTGGTGCTCAAAAAACATTTCTTACTACTATCGACAAAAACGGTTGTGGTTCATTTGACACGGAATGACTCAAGTGAGAAATAATTTACTTTGATTTACTATCCCAACACAGCAACACTGACCCAACTAAGAGACTGGGACAGGGACTACCATTGGACCAACAATATTACTTTTGCAATTATAATAATAATAATAACATGCAATAATAATAATAATAATTGTACTATTAATAAATAAAATATTTAACAAAATAAGAAATATTACTATTTCTTATTACTATCAATGAAAACTGTTGTGCTGCTTAATATTTTTGTGGAAACCATGACACATTTTTTTCAGAATTTTTTTTTTTTTTTTTTTAATAGATTTATTTATTTTTTGCACAATGTAGAAGACTTTAGTGTCACTTTTGGTCAGTTTAATGCATCATTGCCGAATAAAATTATTCATTTCTTAGTCAAATGTATTATTAGTCAAATGTATTATTTAATTACTTTGCAAATGCTGTAAAACATTATAAATCTTCAGGTTAAGAATAAACACCAACACTTACAGTCATTTTGTTCTTCTATTTATTCATTAAATCTGTTAAAATGCAAGCAATGATACTAGGGGTTATTTTTCACTTTTTTCCACTTTGAAACGCAAATGACCAGACTTTTAAGGGCTCTATTTTCATTTTTGGGTTAGGTTGCATTAGGTATGGGGCTGTGGGCTACATCTTATGAAAATTTAATGCTACACTATCTATGGGCACATACACATGTAGGTGCATTGTATGTAGTGCAGGTCCATGTAAATGAAGCAGAACAAAGGTTGGTGCACCACATTTGTTAGAAATAGGCCATTGCGCTTTAGATGCATGAGATGTCTTTTCTCAGCGCACGTAATATTGTATCTAAACTCAGTCTGTGCAACTGCCATTTGGGTATTCCACCAGCAGGTGCTAACAAAGTACATCTGGAAGTCCAAGGAATTGATTACAGATAATTATGGTTAATACCTAGCCATGATCCAAGACATACTGCTCTTAAAATAAGACTCTAAATGGGTCAGTCTGTGTCAACTCAACCAGAGGACCATGGCTACATACAGGTGCATCTAAAAAAATTAGAATATCGTATAAAAAGTTCATTTTTTTGTAACCTTTCAAAAAGTGAAACTTTCATATATTCTAGATTCATTACATGTAAAGTAAAACATTTCAAAAGTTTTTTTTTGTTTTAATTTTGATGATTAGAGCTTACAGCTTATGAAAGTCAAACATCCAGTATCTCAAAATTGGGGATGCACCGATACCACTTTTTCCAGTACTCGACCGATACGATACTTTTATTTTTGGTACTTGCCGATACGGATATTTTTATTGCATTTGTAAATTTTTTAAATATTGGGTACAGAAACCAAAAGAGTATGGTTTGGTACCATAAAAGAGTATGGTAACATGGATGACATTTCCCAACAGCACAGCAGTAATGACTTTATTAACTACTTTACTTCCAAGATCGATACTATTAGAGATAAAATTGTAACCATGCAGCCGTCAGCTACAGTATCACATCAGATAGTGTGCTATAGATCCTCTGAGGCACAATTCCACTCATTCTCTACTATAGGAGAGGAAGAGTTGTATAAACTTGTTAAATCATCTAAACAAGTAATCTTCACTATTTTTTTCACGAGAGCCGCACTTATAGGACAAAGTTAATAGGAGAGCCACTTTTACTGCAAAGTATCAAAAGTTACATCCAGTCATAAATAGCATGTCTGCTTCTCAATCTGTCATCCCTGAACATACAATATGCAACGCAATACAAAGGGGTTTATTTTTAAAAGTTATTTAGTTATTTTTTAAAGTTATTTATTTAAAGTTATTTGCTTCTACATTAGCCCATCTTGTATCAAACCATCCAAGAGCACAAGATTGCCAAAACAACTCCGCAGTGAGTCAATGTCATGGACGTAAGGGCAGAGCAAGTTTAAATATCGTTCTAGTCTATATTTCCATCTTGTAATTCCACTGTTTTGGGTATTTTTCAAATATCAGTTTTTTGTAATAGAGCAGACACTGACTGTTGTTCATGTATTTATGTTCTCATTTAGCGAGACCGCAGATGCTGAAAACACTGTGCGCTTCAGTATGTGTGTAGTAAACGAAACCGCGCATCTGTGCCATTCATTCATAAAGAGATACGCAGGATTCATATTTAAATAGTATTTTTGCAGCTTAATATTTACAGATATGTCAATATTGCAATTTGATTTAAGTGTAATGACCTACTTTTGATTTATTCACCCAAACTTTGACAAATTCCGTGACATTCCACGTTATACAGTAAATTCTGTTTTTATGACTGGATTCCATGATTCCGTCCGCGTTTTTTGCATCGCAGAAATCATAGGGCCATAATTATAATGGGTTCTATTGTCTTTTGTCGCGTCGCACCATTACGCTCGCGTCCGGTGTTCTGACAGTCAGAACACCGGTGTAGACACGGTGTGAATTTTTTTAATGGCTTAGTTATAGCCCTGCTTGTTTTTAATGTTTTAATATCTGTATTGATCATATCATCGCATTATTTACTGCCATCTGCCATGCGAGCCACAAATTAAAGCTTGGCGAGCCGCATGAGGCTCTAGAATGAATCTAGAATATATGAAAGTTTCACTTTGTGAAATAAGTTACAAAAAATTAACTTTTCCACAATATTCAAATTTTGTATATGCATGTGTGTGTGCGCGCGCGTGTGTATATATATATATATATATATATATATATATTTGGTGAAAGAAATACCCTCCCCCCCCCAAAGTTTACATGCCTATAACTCAAAAAGTATTAAACATATCTTAATATCCTAGAATATTAAACTTTCTTTTGGTATTTTCATTATACCTATATGGTTCATTTCCAGAGATACTGGGATGTCAATGTGGCTCCAAGAATAAATTGTTAAATTGTATACATATATGTACACACACAGAATCAAAACTTTTAGCCAAACTTTTTTTAAGTTTCCGAAATTTGGTTAATTTGACACGGAATGACCCAAAGTGAGAAATCATTTACTTTGTTTTACTATCCCAACACAGCAACACTGATCCAACCAAGAGTCTGAGACAAGGGCTACCTGTGGTGATATTACTTTTTATATTAATTACTGATATTACCTGATACAAATGATATTACTTTTGCAATTCTGTCTGGTGCTGCTAGCAGTGCAAAAATTATCACACACTTCAGCTTTAAGAATGTGAGTCAAAGTACTAGAGGACACATTATGTGAGTTTGAGGTACAGTTGCTGTAATATAACAAGCTCAAATTTTATTTCCTTTCATAACTCAGAAATCCCAGTCACTCTTTCTAGGACAAAACTGCTATACAGCTGGTAGGTAAATACTGTTTTCCTTCAGACATGATTACAGGTTAGTTTCCCTGCAGGCTTCAGTCTTTGAAAGTCCAAATTTAATTTGTCTGAAATGTTCTTCCTTGTGACTCGTATATCATTCAACCTCTCAAAATAACTCTTTATGATGATTGGAAATCCAGACAATACAGACCTTGCATCATTTCCTCTTTGTGTGTTTTTATGCTAGGAGGACATGACATTTCTTTTTATTTTCTTGAAGTTTTTGATAGTATTCTATTCTGACAAGACAACTGAAGCAAGACAGGAAGCGAATGGATAGAACTGAGAATGTAGATGGGACTGGGAAAGAAACACATGCCGGGATTCAAATTTTTGCCCCAGATTTGGTTATTTTGTGATCTCAGTATGACTGTTTTTATTATTATTATTAATAATAATAATAATGACTGTTAATTGTACTATTAATTGTATTATTGCTAAATAAAATATTTAACGAAATAAGAACGATTACTATTTAAATATTTAACTAAAATACAAACAATCAAGTATTTAAAAAATAATTATTTTAGAGTACAACTGTACAATTACAATACTAATATTTATGACTTTATGTCTTAATTTCTTCATTTTCAAACATTACACTATCAAGCTTTTATATTGGCTTATCTTTTCTTGGCAACATCCGGTTTATAGGC